TGTCTCTTGGTTATTGGATTTGTCAGATACTCAGCTTTAACGACCAGCATCAAATACTTCAGCATCAGAGAAGCCAAGTAACTGTTACCTTTTCCACACCAGTCCATCTGTCCAGCACATCTCTTGCAAAGTTGAAGTACTCTGGCACCTCTGGTCTGTACTGTTGTTTAATGGCTTCATAACTCAAAGAGGCGTGAACTGGGTAGCGCCAGCTGCCAAGCTGGAGGGATCTTCTCAGGGGAGCCCGCAGGAACATAGCACTTGGGATCTTCAGTAAAAAATGTACAGCAGCAAGAGCCATAATAGTCTCTTCAAGGTTATTCCTTATTGATTCTCTCTCCAAGAAATGCTACAGTGATACAGATACAAATCTGGTATTAGCCATGAGGTTTCAGAACAGCTTTTACTACTACACCATGGAACACACTGGAATAACAATCCCAACTGTTAATTGGAGTAATTGCTGAGGACAGTTCCAGTTCAGCCATTGTCTCGCCCCTGCTCTCCAGTGACCATCATGCAGCTGAGATCCTCACCCTGCATTAAACAGCAGCACTCAGCCTTGTCACTGTGGTAGCTTTCCTGTAATTCATGTTTCTTTCCTTCCTACAAGCCCTGCTGATCTCATGGATCGTATTTCAGTTGCCTTATAGGGCAGAGAGGCATTGAACCTTTCCCAAGCACTTCAACTCTGACTTCTGTAAATGAAATGTCTGCTACTGACCAAAAATACGCAAGTAATGGCATTGACCAGGATGTTGCACAGATGTTGCACAGATAATCCAGCAATTGCGCATTAATTACTGGCTGACCATAGTGTCATTTGGTACAAAGATACTTACAGTTTTTCTGGTTCATCAGTATTGGGATATATTGGTTGCCAGGAATGAAATTCATGTAGCAAAGACCTGAAAAGATTCTAAGTATTGATGTTTTAAACATTATTTTGATGCATGGTGAGCAAGAAGCATCACTTCATGAAACAGGAAAACGTTAAACAACTCCCTGAAAAAGGATCCCAAATGCAAAGCCTTACTTCTCAAAAACAGTCAACTTAGCAGGAGGTCTGAAAGCTCTGAAGTCATTATTTTCATGCATTGTCAACTGTCTTTTATTTACAAAATAAAACAAACACTGCTAGTTCCTTATGGAATTAATAACTATGCAGCTGTAAAATCATGTGATTCTAGTGATTTAATGAAGCAAAGGGACGTTTTTTGGATCTGTAACATTCAGTCTGCATATGACAAACACAGGAGAGAAACCCAGCTAAATGAAAGACAGAGAGGAACAGGAAGAAGAGTGAATGTGGACAAACAAGAGGCAAATCAGCACTACTCCAGTGCCAGAAAATGTCCTGGCCAGCAGCCTGCAGGGGTGGGTGGAGGGTCAGTTACCTTGTCCAAAGGCTGCCAATCCCAGTTTACTCCCTCTCTGCCTGGCACTGAAGTGTAATCCTCTCAGCTCCTGGATGTGTCACAGCTGTGACTCCTTACACAGATCTCAGACTCCTGGCCGCATGCTTGCTCTTGCACTATTACTGTGTCCAGTGACTGAATCCTGTGTTCCTTACATGTACTTTGGACTCACACAAGGGGCAGCCAAGTCCAGCACAGTGAGAAGAGCTGACAGATTTCTGCAGAGCTCAGAGTGGAGGTAGAAGTGTGAGATTCAAATCTCTCCTGTTTCTTTTTTCTCCCCTCTTCCCACCCACCAGCCCATGGAGTAACTCAGTCATAAGACCTTGGTACAGCCAAATCACATCCTGTTATGCTCTGGTTGGGACAACACAGGAGCAACAGCCTTCCAACTGGCTTTGTGACTATACCACTCAGTGGGTAGCTTGGGGCTCCTCAGGTAACCACAGCAGTTCAGCCACAATAACAGCAAGTATCGATTTCTGGGATGCTGCAGCTGGTGCCTGGACCAGCTTTGTTAACACCTGGTGACTTCTGAGGTTTTGTAAGGGCTCTGCCTCATGTTCAGAGAGCACGCAGTTAGGTGGTGCTCCAGCATTGCTGCCTCCTCTGCTCCACTCCTATGGGAGAGGCCGGAGGGAACGTGTGCCATCCTCTCTGCCATCGAGAGCACAGCTCAGCACAGTGGGCATGGCTGTGGCATCGGTGCAAGCCTCTACTTTCAGCGTCTCCTGCAAGGATGTCACTCACTAGGGAGCTAGTGACAGCTGTAGCTTAAATTGGGGCATTGAGACTCATAAGAGTTTGACTGCCAGAGCCCTAAATAGCTCCTGCTGTATCTCTCTCCTCAAACCGTGACTCCAAGGTCAGCAGAGAGATTGCTAGCACCCATCTACATCTTTGGAGCAGAACAGTCCACTGGATGCTGATCAGTGAGGGTGACGCTGTGGTCTTTCCTGGCACTTAGATCCTGTACTTTTGCCAGAAATCCCTCCTGGGGTTCTGCCCACGTTAGTTTGTAAACAACGCACTCAAAGGAGATGTTAACCAGCTCCCTGAAATGTTCACTGTGGCAGAAAGAGACTGATTTGAAACAGATTCCCCCAAACAACAAAGCTGCTTTCTGGCCAGTGGTAAAGGGAGACCTACAGTCGGTCTGCAGCAGTTAAACAGCTCTTTGAAACACATGCGACAAAATCCTCCCAGAGGAAAGGCAGAGGAACAGCCTTAAAGACATTCCCTACCCAGTAGATCACATCACCCCCGAGGAGGCATGAATGTTAAAGAGAAAATTACAGCCATGGCTTCTGGTAAGAGCCAGCGAATGTGCCAGGAGTAAGTAGGCGAGAAGGTTTCCAGTTTAGGAAGAAAACCATAACTTCCCCAGTGACCTACCTAACCTATAAACTGTTCTTTTGGCAGGGCATATATAACTAATTTCCAGAGCACCGATGGGTATTTCCAAGTCCCCCAGCACTTTTCACCACAGAAATATCCTAGTTATGTTCTGAGTGGTTAATTGCACTTTCTCTGCACCACTCACGGCTGCCTGTAGAAATTCTTCCTCATGTTTCAGACATGTCCTGACATGCCCAACTCCAGCTACTATCACTCTAATTCACCAAAACTTTCGAGTCTTTCACACAACCCCAGCCCTGCAAAGATTTAGTGATTTGTAATTTATGTGTGGTCAATAATGTCACCGATGTCTAACAATTGCTGTAGAATTATATGAGCCTCAACGGCTTTGCAGGAACAAAACATCAGATAAGACATAAACACCACCTCCTGTCGTGGTTGTAACTAATAAATACTTCCATCAATTCATCAAGTTTCCTTTTTTCCTACTTTAGCCCAACTGGATTCTCTGAATATAAATAATATGATAGCCCTGCCCCTATTGAGGCCTCCTTAGCTGTCTCCTCTACCTGTTTTCACAAAATGTCAAGGAACTTAATTTTCCCCCTCTTAATTGTCCAAGAAGCACAACAGTTACTGCAGGGAAAGGAGTGTCTTATGGACAGGGATGCAGAGACACCTTCCTTTAGAAACTACGCTACATGCCATGTTTTTTCTGTCAACACACGTTCTCTACTATCTCAGGCCCAAATTTACCTGTATAAAGAGTTTCTATTTCAGCTGGTCCCTCTATGCCATGACACCTTCAGGAGTTAGATGGGAAGCTGGGGAAGCAGCCGAAGCCCACTCCCTCTCTGCTGAGGTGTATGGGCCCGTGTTTGTCGTGCCAGCGCAGAGCAGGGCTGAGGTCTGCTTGCTCCCCTGCGCTTCAGCGAGCATCTGTCCTCTCCTCTCCCCAGCCCACCGTCTCTCTCAATTCTGAAATCATTAACACAAATCCAGACTTTAATCCTGGAACTGAAGTCTGGGGGAAGAGAAAGCACCAAGGGCTATGAGTGACTGAGTCTGACCACAGCTGAGTGGGACAAGTCCAGAGTACTGTGCCTGGGGAAATTCTCAGCCTCCCGGCTGAGATGAATTGTAATTTTCCAGGGTGGGTTTCTGTTTGTTTTTTTTCTTTTACCTCCAAGGGCACTGCAGTGCCTACAGCAACACCGGCTGTGAGAGGAGCCTGGAAGCCGCCTGCGGGCCTCACTGGGGACCCCACCTGGTGCCGGGGCTCGGCCTCCCCGGAGCAGCACGGCGGCGCACGGGCCTGCGG